TCTTGAAATTTCAGATTTGCGATTTTTTGAACACAACCTTGCATAACCTTAAACATTAATGTTATGGTGATTAATCTTTACATATCTCAAAAACTAATTGAGATATCATCATGAAATAAAAAACAGATTAAAGCAAATTTAATGGTGATTTAATGTGCCATAAATAATTTCTTATTTTCCATAAACATCGCTGTTATGATTTTTTAAATCCACCTCTTCAATTCAACACTATTTCATTGTTATAGATATGTAAATAAACTTTAAACAATCGTATCTCAAGAACGAATTGAGATATCATCATTAAATAAAAAGCAATTTAAAGCAAATTTATTTAATATTCTACATTTTGAATATCAATTCTTCGAATCTTGAAATTTCAGATTTGCGATTTTTTGAATGCAACCTTGCATACCTTAAACATAAATATTGGAGTAATTAATTTTTACATATCTCAAAAACTAATTGAGATATCAACATGAAATAAAAAATAGATGAAAGCAAATTTAATGGTGATTTAATATGCCATAAATAATTTCTTATTTTCCATAAACATCGCTGTTATGATTTTTTAAATCCACCTCTGCAATTCAACATTATTTTATTGTTATAGATATGAAATATAAACTTTAAAAAGTCGTATCTCAAGAACGAATTGAGATATCATCATGAAATAAAAAGCAATTTAAAGCAAATTTACTTAATATTGAGTGTTTTGAAGATAATTTTTTCAATCTCTCATAATCTCCGATAAATCCCTTCATAACCCTTTAACATAAAATTGATATTAAGGCCACAAACTTGCAAACTTTATAAACCCAACCCTCCGAAACATTTACATAACCTCTCTATTTATATATTTATCGTTTGAAAATTCCTTAAAAACGAATCTTGAAATTTCAGATTTGCGATTTTTTGAACACAACCTTGCATAATCATAAACATAAATGTTGAGGGATTAATCTGTACATATCTCAAAAACTAATTGAAATATCATTATGAAATAAAAAACAGTTTGAAGCAAATTTAATGAAGATTTAATGTGCCATAAATAATTTCTTATTTTCCATAAACATCGTAATTATGATTTTTTAAATCCAACTCTGCAGTTCAACACTATTTGATTGTTATAGATATGAAATATAAACTTTAAAAAATCGTATCTCAAGAACGAATTGAGATATCATCACGAAATAAAAAGCAATTTAAAGCAAATTTATTTAGTATTCGACATTTTGAATATCATTTCTTCGTATCTTGAAGTTTGAGATTTATGAATTTTTGAACGCAACCTTCCATAACCTTAAACATAAGTGTTAGGGTGATTAATCTTTACAGATCTCAAAAACTAATTGAGATATCGTCATGAAATAAGAAACAGTTTAAAGCAAATATAATGAAGATTTAATGTGCCATAAATAATTTCTTATTTTCCATAAACATCGCTATTATGATTTTTTAAATCCAACTCTGCAATTCAACACTATTTGATTGTTATAGATATGAAATATAAACTTTAAATCATCGTATCTCAAGAACGAATTGCGATATCATCATGAAATAAGATGCANATGAATTTTTGAACGCAACCTTGCATAACCTTAAACATAAGTGTTAGGGTAATTAATCTTTACATATCTCAAAAACTAATTGAGATATCATCATGAAATATAAAACAGTTTAAAGCAAATTTAATGAAGATTTAATGTGAAAGAAATAATTTCTTATTTTCCATAAACATCGCTATTATGATTTTTTAAACCAATTCTGCAGTTTAACACTATTTCATTGTTTTAGATTATGGAACATAAATTTTAAATAATCGTATCTTAAGAACAAATTGAGATATCGTCATGAAATAAAAAGCAATTTGAAGCAAATTTATTTAGTATTCAACATTTTAAATATTATTTCTTCGAATATTGAAGTTTCAGATTTATGAATTTTTGAACTCAACCTTACATAATCTTAAACATTATGATTATCGTTATGAAATAAAAAGCAATTTGAAGCAAATTTATTTAGTATTCAACATTTTAAATATTATTTCTTCGAATATTGAAGTTTCAGATTTATGAATTTTTGAACTCAACCTTACATAATCTTAAACATTATGATTATCGTTATGAAATAAAAAGCAATTTGAAGCAAATTTATTTAGTATTCAACATTTTAAATATTATTTCTTCGAATATTGAAGTTTCAGATTTATGAATTTTTGAACTCAACCTTACATAATCTTAAACATTATGATTATCGTTATGAAATAAAAAGCAATTTGAAGCAAATTTATTTAGTATTCAACATTTTAAATATTATTTCTTCGAATATTGAAGTTTCAGATTTATGAATTTTTGAACTCAACCTTACATAATCTTAAACATTATGATTATCGTTATGAAATAAAAAGCAATTTGAAGCAAATTTATTTAGTATTCAACATTTTAAATATTATTTCTTCGAATATTGAAGTTTCAGATTTATGAATTTTTGAACTCAACCTTACATAATCTTAAACATTATGATTATCGTTATGAAATAAAAAGCAATTTGAAGCAAATTTATTTAGTATTCAACATTTTAAATATTATTTCTTCGAATATTGAAGTTTCAGATTTATGAATTTTTGAACTCAACCTTACATAATCTTAAACATTATGATTATCGTTATGAAATAAAAAGCAATTTGAAGCAAATTTATTTAGTATTCAACATTTTAAATATTATTTCTTCGAATATTGAAGTTTCAGATTTATGAATTTTTGAACTCAACCTTACATAATCTTAAACATTATGATTATCGTTATGAAATAAAAAGCAATTTGAAGCAAATTTATTTAGTATTCAACATTTTAAATATTATTTCTTCGAATATTGAAGTTTCAGATTTATGAATTTTTGAACTCAACCTTACATAATCTTAAACATTATGATTATCGTTATGAAATAAAAAGCAATTTGAAGCAAATTTATTTAGTATTCAACATTTTAAATATTATTTCTTCGAATATTGAAGTTTCAGATTTATGAATTTTTGAACTCAACCTTACATAATCTTAAACATTATGATTATCGTTATGAAATAAAAAGCAATTTGAAGCAAATTTATTTAGTATTCAACATTTTAAATATTATTTCTTCGAATATTGAAGTTTCAGATTTATGAATTTTTGAACTCAACCTTACATAATCTTAAACATTATGATTATCGTTATGAAATAAAAAGCAATTTGAAGCAAATTTATTTAGTATTCAACATTTTAAATATTATTTCTTCGAATATTGAAGTTTCAGATTTATGAATTTTTGAACTCAACCTTACATAATCTTAAACATTATGATTATCGTTATGAAATAAAAAGCAATTTGAAGCAAATTTATTTAGTATTCAACATTTTAAATATTATTTCTTCGAATATTGAAGTTTCAGATTTATGAATTTTTGAACTCAACCTTACATAATCTTAAACATTATGATTATCGTTATGAAATAAAAAGCAATTTGAAGCAAATTTATTTAGTATTCAACATTTTAAATATTATTTCTTCGAATATTGAAGTTTCAGATTTATGAATTTTTGAACTCAACCTTACATAATCTTAAACATTATGATTATCGTTATGAAATAAAAAGCAATTTGAAGCAAATTTATTTAGTATTCAACATTTTAAATATTATTTCTTCGAATATTGAAGTTTCAGATTTATGAATTTTTGAACTCAACCTTACATAATCTTAAACATTAGTGTTAGAGTGATTAATCTTTACATATCTCAAAAACTAATTGAGATATCATCATGAAATAAAGAACAGTTTAAAGCAAATTTAATGAAGATTTAATATGCCATAAATAATTTATTATTTCCCAGAAACATCGCTATTATGATTTTTTAAATCCAACTCTGCAGTTGAACACTATTTGGTTCTTATAGATATGTAATATAAACTTTAAATAATCGTATCTCAAGAACGAATTGAGATATCATCATGAATTAAAAAGCAATTTAAAGCAAATTTATTTAGTATTCAACATTTTGAATATCATTTCTTCGAACCTTGAAGTTTGAGATTTATGAATTTTTGAACGCAACCTTGCATAACCTTAAACATAAGTGTTAGGGTAATTAATCTTTACATATCTCAAAAACTAATTGAGATATCATCATGAAATAAGAAACAGTTTGAAGCAAATTTAATGAAGATTTAATGTGCCATAAATAATTTCTTATTTTCCATAAACATCGCTATTATGATTTTTTAAATCCAACTCTGCAATTCAACACTATTTGATTGTTATAGATATGAAATATAAACTTTAAATCATCGTATCTCAAGAACGAATTGCGATATCATCATGAAATAAAATGCAATTTAAAGCAAATTTATTTAGTATTCTACATTTTAAATATCAATTCTTTGAATCTTAAAATTTCAGGTTTATGAATTTTTGAACGCAACCTTACATAACCTTAAACATAAATGTTGGAGTTATTAATCTTTACATATCTCAAAAACTAATTGAGATATCATCATGAAATAAAAAACAATTTAAAGCAAATTTACTTAATATTGAGTGTTTTGAAGATAATTTTTTCAATCTCTCATAATCTCCGATAAATCCCTCCATAACCCTTTAACATAAAATTGATATTAAGGTCACAAACTTGCAAACTTTATAAACCCAACCCTCCGAAACATTTACATAACCTCTCTATTTATATATTTATCGTTTGAAAATTCCTTAAAAACGACTTTAGAAACGAGGGAGTGGTAAACAACTTGACGCCGATTTAAATCGACTTTCAATTCAAAATGACTTTCGATTTATTTTAAAAACAAGAAAAATACGACTTAGAATACTCCATTCGTAGAGATTTTCAATTCCAATCAACTTTCCGAATTGAATTTCGATTTAAATTCGAACGCTCATTCAATTTTATTATTACGATCTTAAGGATTCCGTTTTTTTGGTAATAATAATCCTTTTTTAATTTTTTTAAAGGAATTTTAAGAGATGGAGTTCGCTTTGAGTCATAGCAAATCATGGCCGGTTAACACGGTGGCGGTTGTTCAATTACGAGTCGATTCTAATGGAAAATCTTACAGCACTTTCATGGAGAGACTCGAGGAAGATGCAAAAATTGAAGTTAAAAATGAAAATGGCTTAATTTTAAAGTTGTCCAAAGAAAATTTCGACATATTAACAAAATCCAACGAAAGAAGATGTAAAACGATAAGAACCGATACGGTTTCGACGATTCTCGAGCAAGAATTCGAAACGGACGTCGACATTCAAACGGATTCGGAGAAAATTTACGAAACATTTCACGTTTTAGCTTTATCATCCGCCGAAGGAAACAATTCCAAAGAGATTATTATTAATAAATCCGAAAAAAACGGGATTTCGAGACGAGAAAGTGCTAAATTTGATAATTGGGATTTAATTTATACTGAAACTCGTTCGAATAAACCGAAATGTCCGATTCATGGTGATTCGCAAGCTTTAAATGTTTGCCCTTGCAATAAATCTAATAAACAAAAAGGACCGCCTTGTATGGAACACACCGATTGTATGCTTCCGGAGTTGCCGTTGGACGCGAGAAAAGTAACAACATTACGAAGACATTATTATCCGGAAGGGGGGTGGGGTTGGGTTATAGTCGCGTGTTCTTTACTCGTTCACGTTCTAAACCATGGAATTCAAGTGTCATGTTCGCAATTGGTACTTCCGGCTTCTACGAAATTCAAGACGTTACCAGTACATGTTGCAGGTAAGAAAATCAATTAAAATTATTGTTATAGTCTTAAGTGAGTCTTAAACTATTTATTTCGAAGTCGGGGAAGCTTTTTTTTCATTTTCCAGGTCTTCTTATTCATTTTCATTCTTTGACTGGCGTTGAAGTTAGAATAACTGAATGTTTCATTCTACTAGTTTACTAAAAGATCTATAAAACTTGTGCTTTTTTGTTGGGTTGCATAGCCTTGTCTTCCTCGTCAGATATCTCATCTTCTGAAACTTCTTCTAAATCTAAATTTGATTAAGATTCTGATTCTGTCGAAATTCGACATTTTAAATACTCGTATCTCAAGTATGAATTGAGATATCACCATGAAATGAAAAGCAATTTAAAGCAAATTTATTCAGTATTCAACATTTTGAATATTATTTCTTCGTATCTTGAAGTTTGAGATTTATGAATTTTTGAACGCAAGCTTGTATAACCTTAAACATAAGTGTTGGGGTAATTAATCTTTACATATCTCAAAAACTAATTGAGATATAATCATGAAATACAAAACGGTTTGAAGCAAATTTAATGAAGATTTAATGTGCCACAAATAATTTCTTATTTTCCATAAACATCGCTATTACGATTTTTTAAATTCAACTCAGCAATTCAAGACTATTTGATTGTTATAGATATGAAATATAAATTTTAAAAAGTCGTATCTCAAGAACGAATTGAGATATCATCATGAAATAAAAAGCAATTTAAAGCAAATTTATTTAGTATTCAACGTTGTGAATATCATTTCTTCGAATCTTGAAATTTAGGATTTATGAATTTTTGAACGCAACCTTGCATAACCTTAATCATAAGTGTTGGGGTAATTAATCTTTACATATCTCAAAAACTAATTGAGATATCATCTTGAAATAAAAAACAGTTTGAAGCAAATTTAATAAAGATTTAATGTGCCATAAATAATTTCTTATTTTCCATAATCATCGCTATTACGATTTTTTAAATCCAACTCTGATATTCAACACTATTTGATAGTTATAGATATGAAATATAAACTTTAAAAAGTCGTATCTCAAGAACGAATTGAGATATCATCATGAAATAAAAAGCAATTTAAAGCAAATTTATTTAGTATTCAACGTTTTGAATATCATTTCTTCGAATTTTGAAATTTAGGATTTATGAATTTTTAAACGCAACCTTGCATAACCTTAAACATTAGTGTTGGGGTAATTAATCTTTACATATCTCAAAAACTAATTGAGATATAATCATGAAATACCAAACGGTTTAAAGCAAATTTAATGAAGATTTGATGTGCCATAAATAATTTCTTATTTTCCATAAACATCGCTATTACGATTTTTTAAATCCAACTCTGCAATTCAACACTATCTCATTATTATAGATATGAAACATCAATTTTAAATAATCGTATCTCAAGAACGAATTGAGATATAATCATGAAATAAAAAGCAATTTAAAGCAAATTTATTTAGTATTCAATGTTTTGAATATCATTTCTTCGAACCTTGAAATTTTAGATTTATGAATTTTTAAACGCAACCTTGCATAACCTTAAACATTAGTGTTAGGGTAATTAATCTTTACATATCTCAAAAACGAATTGAGATATAATCATGAAATAAAAAACTGATTGAAGCAAATTTAATGAAGATTTAATGTACCATAAATAATTTCTTATTTTCCATAAACATCGCTATTACGATTTTTTAAATCCAACTCTGCAATTCAACACTTTGATTGTTATAGATATGAAGTATAAACTTTAAATAATCGTATCTCAAGAACGAATTGAGATATAATCATGAAATAAAAAGCAATTTAAAGCAAATTTATTTAGTATTCAACATTTTGAATATCATTTCTTCGAATCTTGAAATTTGAGATTTATGAATTTTTAAACGCAACCTTGCATAACCTTAAACATTTGTGTTGGGGTAATTAATCTGTACGTATCTCAAAAACTAATTGAGATATAATCATGAAATAAAAAGCTGTTTGAAGCAAATTTAATGAAGATTTAATGTGCCATAAATAATTTCTTATTTTCCATAAACATCGCTATTATGATTTTTTAAATCCAACTCTGCAATTCAACACTATTTGATTGTTATAGATATGAAATATAAACTTTAAAAAGTCGTATCTCAAGAACGAATTGAGATATCATCATGAAATAAAAAGCAATTTAAAGCAAATTTATTTAGTATTCAACGTTTTGAATATCATTTCTTCGAATCTTGAAATTTAGGATTTATGAATTTTTGAACGCAACCTTGCATAACCTTAAACATTAGTGTTGGGGTAATTAATCTTTACATATCTCAAAAACTAATTGAGATATAATCATGAAATAAAAAACTGTTTGAAGCAAATTTAATGAAGATTTAATGTGCCATAAATAATTTCTTATTTTCCATAAACATCGCTATTATGATTTTTTAAATCCAACTCTGCAATTCAACACTATTTGATTGTTATAGATATGAAATATAAACTTTAAAAAGTCGTATCTCAAGAACGAATTGAGATATCATCATGAAATAAAAAGCAATTTAAAGCAAATTTATTTAGTATTCAACGTTTTGAATATCATTTCTTCGAATTTTGAAATTTAGGATTTATGAATTTTTGAACGCAACCTTACATAACCTTAAACATAAGTGTTGGGGTAATTAATCTTTAGATATCTCAAAAACTAATTGAGATATCAACTTGAAATAAAAAACAGTTTGAAGCAAATTTAATAAAGATTTAATATGCCACAAATAATTTCTTATTTTCCATAAACATCGCTATTACGATTTTTTAAATCCAACTCAGCAATTCAAGACTATTTGATTGTTATAGATATGAAAAATAAACTTTAAAAAGTCGTATCTCAAGAACGAATTGAGATATCATCATGAAATAAAAAGCAATTTAAAGCAAATTTATTTGGTATTCAACGTTTTGAATATCATTTCTTCGAATTTTGAAATTTAGGATTTATGAATTTTTGAACGCAACCTTGTATAACCTTAAACATTAGTGTTGGAGTAATTAATCTTTAGATATCTCAAAAACTAATTGAGATATCAACTTGAAATAAAAAACAGTTTGAAGCAAATTTAATGAAGATTTAATGTGCCATAAATAATTTCTTATTTTCTATAAACATCGCTATTATGATTTTTTAAATCCAACTCTGCAATTCAACACCTTGATTGATTATAAACTTTAAATAATCGTATCTCAAGAACGAATTGAGATATCATCATGAAATAAAAAGCAATTTAAAGCAAATTTATTTAGTATTCAGCATTTTGAATATCATTTCTTCGAATCTTCAAATTTCAGATTTATGAATTTTTGAACGCAACCTTGCATAACCTTAAACATTAGTGTTGGGGTTATTAATCTTTACATATCTCAAAAACTAATTGAGATATAATCATGAAATACCAAACGATTTGAAGCAAATTTAATGAAGATTTAATGTGCCACAAATAATTTCTTATTTTTCATAAACATTGCTATTATGATTTTTTAAATCCAACTCTGCAATTCAACACTATTTGATTGTTATAGATATGAAATATAAACTTTAAAAAGTCGTATCTCAAGAACGAATTGAGATATCATCATGAAATAAAAAGCAATTTAAAGCAAATTTATTTGGTATTCAACGTTTTGAATATCATTTCTTCGAATTTTGAAATTTCAGATTTATGAATTTTTGAACGCAACCTTGTATAACCTTAAACATTAGTGTTGGGGTAATTAATCTTTAGATATCTCAAAAACTAATTGAGATATCAACTTGAAATAAAAAACAGTTTGAAGCAAATTTAATGAAGATTTAATGCGCCATAAGTAATTTCTTATTTTCTATAAACATCGCTAGTATGATTTTTGAAATTCAACATTATTTGATTGTTATAGATATAAAATATAAACTTTAAAAAGTTGTATCTCAAGAACGAATTGAGATATCATCATGAAATAAAAAGCAATTTAAAGCAAATTTATTTAGTATTCAACGTTTTGAATATCATTTCTTCGAATTTTGAAATTTAGGATTTATGAATTTTTGAACGCAACCTTGCATAACCTTAAACATTAGTGTTGGGGTAATTAATCTTTACATATCTCAAAAACTAATTGAGATATCATCTTGAAATAAAAAACAGTTTGAAGCAAATTTAATGAAGATTTAATGTGTCATAACTAACTTCTTATTTTCCATAATCATCGCTATTATGATTTTTTAAATCCAACTCTGCAATTCAACACTATTTGATTGTTATAGATATGAAATATAAACTTTAAAAAGTCGTATCTCAAGAACGAATTGAGATATCATCATGAAATAAAAAGCAATTTAAAGCAAATTTATTTAGTATTGAACATTTTGAATATCATTTCTTCGAATCATGAAATTTCAGATTTACAAATTTTTTAACACAACCTTGCATAACCTTAATCATTAGTGTTGGGGTAATTAATGTTTACATATCTCAAAAACTAATTGAGATATAATCATGAAATAAAAAGCTGTTTGAAGCAAATTTAATGTGCCACAAATAATTTCTTATTTTGCATAAACATCGCTATTATAATTTTTTAAATCTAACTCTGCAATTCAACACTATTTGATTATTATAGATATGATATATAAACTTTAAAAAGTCGTATCTCAAGAACGAATTGAGATATGATCATGAAATAAAAAGCAATTTAAAGCAAATTTATTTAGTATTCAATACTTTGAATATCATTTCTTCGAATCTTGAAATTTCAGATTTATGAATTTTTGAACGCAACCTTGCATAACCTTAAACATTAGTGTTGGGATGATTATCTTTACATATCTCAAAAACTAATTGAGATATCATCATGAAATAAAAAACAATTTAAAGCAAATTTAATGAAGATTTAAACTTCTTCTTCGTTTTCCTTTTTTTCCAGCTCTTCTTTGACTGGCGTTGAAATCAGAACAACTGAATATTTTATTCTACTAGTTTTTGCTGTCAGGAATGCTAAAAGATGTATTAAACTTTGTGTTTTCTTTCTTGGGTTGCACAGCCTTGTTTTGCTCGCATCTTCTAAAACTTCTTCTAAATCTAAATCTAAGGAAGATTCTGATTCTGTCGACTTTCGAAGTGGATAGAAGAAGGTGTTCTGTCCAAATTCTTGTCTGTCTGAGCATTGTTATTGCTTTGTGTGTCAGCAGCTGATGTAGGATGTGTCGTACACGATGGAATTTCTATGGCATGGCTAAATTCATCATAATACCTAAATACAAAACGATTGAAAGGGAATATTTTGGTCATTTGGAAACCCTTTACTCCTTTCTCCACCGCTGCTACTCTATTATAAATTATAAGCATTTTTCGTGTTGCTTAGCAGGAATATGATAGGTATATAATGTAATGATATAACCAAACCAAGTCATTCAATATTTTTTTTTTTAATTTTGCATAATCGTATTAATCGTGGGTGAGATTACGAATAATAATTATAGGAATTTGTTTTTGTATTAATAAAATGTTGTAAATATGTTCCAATTCATTATGTATTGTTGATCGTTTACGTTTTTTATTGTACTTAATCCATGTAAAGTCAATACGAAGTAATTTTGTAAAATTTTGACAGTGACATAACCTCAAATTTCATTTTTCATTAATTTCTTATTGTAATTCATGTTTGTCCGGTTGAAACCATTGAAAACGATAATCTCAGCATTTCAAAAACGAAAACCATCCATCATATAGGAGTTTGGATGAAGAATTGGACAAAATCCGTAGATTAAATATTTTTGAAGCTGGACGTTGAAATCTAAAAGAAAATGTTCCAAAATCAGCATAAACAAAGTTAAAGCAACAAAACTACAACATTTCATACATAAATATTGTTAAAATAGAAATTTAAATAATTTTTCATAAAATTTAATTGGTGACATTTGACATTTCGAAGTTGGCAATATCGGAGAAATTTAAATTACGAATTTCAAGTTGAAGAATTTAACCAATCAGCAAACGTTATTTGAAAGGTTCTTGCAATAAACAAAGGAAACTGGTTCATTTTAGTGTGATTTCGAACGTGACAAGGAGCGCACGCTAATTTTGTTCGCGATCATTTAAAAAATCAAAACAAAAGTTAGGTTACTTGTCAATCACCATTGGGACATAACCTCAAAAATAATAAACTTATTATTTAATAAGAAGATTATTTGAATTAAAATTATTCACCTTTAATAATAAACAAGAAAATTAACTGGTTCCTGATATCCAATTAATCCAGTATACCATCCTGAAGAATTATTCCAATCCAATCAAGAATCATAGTTACCGATTCGTTTTGAAGAATCCAAGTTTCCTTATGCGAGAACTTCACTAATCTACAAGATAAGCTAAGTTATAATTTTCAATTTCATTATTATTTGTTAATAATAATTTTTATTTAAAATTTCACTTACCTTAAATACGACTAATTTGAGGTATTATTTTGTTTGGTTATGCTATTACAATGTCATTACATATAATTCAATTATTAAAACTTTATAATTAATTTACTTCGTATTAACTACAAGTTAAAAGATAATATTATTAATTATTTCACCGTGAGTTTTGTTAAAATTTACTTATTTATTTTTGTACTCGTTTACTCAAGCGTTGAACCCATAAATAACCCTGAAGTCACGCTTACCTGAGTCATTTGAAAATTTGACAACGTTGTAGAACAGTGTTGAAAGTTAAATTAAATTTAAATTTTTTTAGTTATTTGAATTAAGTAATCAAAATAAAGTTACTATATGCCACAACAATAACTATCACATTCTTGCCCATAGGCAATCTTTAGTGGGCCAAAAAGCAAACATCTAGAGGCTGAAGTTTGTGATATGTGTGGGGTGAAATTGAAACAACCTTAATGCCGTTATCTTTGCTGAAATTGTATGTACCTAAGTTAGAATGAGTGGAATGATTGTCTAAAACTAATAAAACTTGGTAGGTTTTGTGAATCTAGCAAACTGCTTGATCCATTTGGTGAAAAGACATTCCGTGATTCGTCCAGACTTAGAACTGACTCGGTAAATAGCCCTTATTGGTTTCTTTCTAGCGCTTCTTTCATTCTCTTCCTTTTGAAAATGAACATTGGGGAATGTAGAAGCTAGCAGCGCTTATTGCGGTAAATGAGCTCTTTGCCCACTTGTAACTGCGCCCATTTGCTTCTGCCCTTTATTGGCAACAATGCGGCTAGGATTGTGCACATTAGTGATCGCTGTCTTATCAACATTAAAAATATGATCACCAAGGTTAAAGTTGGATTCCGTTGCATGAAGGAGTAGAGCCAACCTTTTCCACATATACGTTTCTGTTTGTTGAAAATGTGTTTGCCTCTGCAAACTTGTAGGCGAGATCCCAGATTGATTTAGCAATTAATCCAGAAAATATTTTAGAAAGATTAATAATATGAATTGCAAGGTTCCTTAAGACACATGTGCGTAGATTTTCATATTGTTAAGGTTTAGTTTGTTTTTGACAGATTCTATGGCGTGTTGCATGTTCCCTTCCGATCATGCAGAACGTGTGCTTTTCTGAATACTTTCGCACTTGGTATTTGTAGAAAGGGCCATTAGTATAATATCGACAACAGTAGAGAAATATCGACCGCTTTGATACCAAAAGTTGGTCAAAACTCTTTTTTTATAAGCTTTTTTTCTTTTTTCTTGTATGATATTCCTAATGATAGTGATTCTGGGTTAATATCTTTCTTCTGTGATATGTCATTAAAGCTTTTTGAAGTCAGCTCACACAAGTAGCAATCCATTGTAGATGCTGTGTTAGTTGCGACATTACATATTTTCCCATCAACCATAGTAAATAAGTCCTCTTTTCAAAGGTACTCTACTTTTTTGTAGCTCTTTTACTTGATGTTCTACATATATGATTTCATCTGTGGCAACATGCTTCGGGGGTAGTTTGGCACTGAATTTTGCCTTCTTTAATTCTTAATCTAAGTGTAACAAAGGAACTTTGGAAGATCAGTATCAAAGTCTGTTGTATTTTCAAACTTCCGTTTGAAATGAGTTTTCTGCGATCCATCACAGCCCCATTTGTGAATCAATTCTAAATTAGATCGTTTTTCTTCACTGCATCTTTTAAAAACTTCGTCCAGATACTGACTGCATAAACGAGAACAAGTATGGTCCAGAATATCTTGCAATTTCACCTCAGCACGCTTCTGTATGTGATAGTTGTGGTTATAGTTGCCCTCTTTGGCGATTTCGTAATATCTTTTAAAATGTTGGGAGCAGCTAAATTGCCAACGGCCCTCAAGTTCATTTGTGGTGCAAATGTTAAATGCTGTGGATCTGTATTTTCTCGTAAATGTTTTGTTTTTCTTCATTTGATGCGGTCGCTAGATTCCAGGACAGTTTTTCTTTTCAAATGCGTCACTTTTCTTGTAGGCAGTCATCCATTTACTCTTAAAATCAGATTTAAAATGGGGGACAGTTTATGCTTCAAGATATAAAATTGTATTGTTACAATCGTATGTCACAGATGGCTAAAAATTGTGTCATAAGCTACCGTATACGGGTAATAATAGACTACATACCTTTACTTTCAATATCCATATCAAAATCTTCTCAACAAAAGTATCACTGACTTTTAGGAAGACTAAAAGTAAGTGTCTTTTGAAGTACTAAGAATTGCAACGTGCGACGTAAACGAAGACGAGATGCCGCATGACGCTGTAAATGAACCACTTTAACCACGATTTCAAAATGGCTGTCCTGTGATGTGCCATCTATAGTACTATCACAGAATAACCAGCAATGACACTGACGTCGATCCGTTTGATGTTGGCGGCACCTCATTTTGTGACCTCGATTTAAAATCCGCCATCTTATTACGAGTTACCAAACGCGTTATCCAACTCCCTATGAACGCTGTAGTTATGAACATATCCGTCTTTAGAGACGTGCGATTCTAGTTCAAGGTATAGTGTTTCTTTTGGTGATAGTACTAGTGTAAAACTAGAACTAGCACTATACTTAGAACTAGAATCATTCGGGTTTAGCCGTCTTTAGAGACGTGCGGCTAAACCCAAATGATTCTAGTTTCTAGGTATAGTGTTAATTCTACATAGTAACAGTGCTAGTGTGAAACTAGAACTAACACTAGACCTAGAACTAGAAAGTTTCGAATGTTTCTAGTTGTAGGTCTAGTGTTAGTTCTAGTTTTAATTGTTATGCACTGCTAGACCTAGAACTAGAATCATTTGGGTTTAGCCGCACGTCTCTAAAGACGGCTAAACCCGATTGATTCTAGTTCTAAGTATAGTGTTAGTTCTAGTTTTAATTGTTATGCACTGCTAGACCTAGAACTAGAATCATTTGGGTTTAGCCGCACGTCTCTAAAGACGGCTAAACCCGATTGATTCTAGTTCTAAGTATAGTGTTAGTTCTGGTTTTACTCTTCACTGTCACTAGAATTATGTATAGTGTTAATTATACATAGTAACAGTGTTAGTGTAAAACTAGAACTAACACTAAACCTAGAACTAGAAAGTTTCGGCCGTGCGTCTAAAGACGCACGGCTAAATCTAAATGTTTCTAGTTGTAGGTCTAGTGATAGTTCTAGTTTTAGTTGTTATGCAGTGCTAGACCTAGAACTAGAATCATTTGGGTTTAGCCGTCTTAGGCCCACTTTTACCACCTCCTGATAAATTTATCCGATAGATAAATCCAGTTCTTAGCCAATGAGAGCGCTTAAAACCGCCGTAACCATGGCAACTATCCTCTAGATTCTAGATAGTTTATCAGGAGGATGGTAAAAGTGGGCCTTAAGAGACGTACGGCTAAATCCAAATGTTTCTAGTTGTAGGTCTAGTGTTAGTTCTAGTTTTAGTTGTTATGCAGTGCTAGACCTAGAACTAGAATCATTTGGGTTTAGCCGTCTTAAGAGACGTACGGCTAAACCCAAATGTTTCTAGTTCTAGGTCTAATGTTAGTTCTAGTGACAGTGCAAGTGTAAAACTAGAACTAACACTATACTTAGAACTAGAATCAATCGGGTTTAGCCGTCTTTAGAGACGTGCGGCTAAACCCAAATGATTATAGTTCTAGGTATAGTGTTAATTCTAGTTTTAATAGTTATTAAGCGCTAGATTGTTGTATATTTTTAACCTTGGTAACTCGCTATAATATGGCGTCAGATTTGGCAGGATATTGCCACTGTCAATTCTGGTTATTCTGTGGTACTATTCCCAAAACTCATTACAATTGTTCTATTCTGTAATTAATAAATTTGAGTTTTGGCCAACTTTTGGTATCAAATTCCTGAGTTCTCTTAAATCCAATATTTTAATAGACATTACAAATCAAAAAGTAACTCGGTCGGATAAAGTTTTATAATTGGTAGTGGCAATAAAAGGATAACGTGATGTATTTTTATCATTTTCTTATCATTGTTGTTGGAGGTTTTCTCTAAAAGTTACCTTCGAGTATGAGACGCGGGGAAACCGGAAGTTATCTGGGCTATTCGTCTAGTGGGTAATTGGGTTTGGAATAGGGTGGAAAACATGTTTACCTCAGCGATATATCTCTTGCGGTACTTACAATTTATTTATATCAACTAGATACAAATGTAATCGTTTTTAATTGTAAAATAAATTAAAATAATCGTTATTTTTTTTACAAAATTAGGCACTTTTGTTTCTTCGCGTAATAAGGTGATAAATACGATGAGATGGCAATTGCGAAAACTTGATTAACATTTCTCATTAATTTCGATGAACACTCAACGTAATCATCCAGTTTATTGCGTTTGCAAACGGCGAAACCATCCGCTGTTTGGATGTTATCGTCAGTTCTTAAATCAATTTTTGTACCTTAAACACAAAGTTAAAGTAAAATGTGGTGATAATTTGGTTCAATAACTTACAAGTTAAAATAATCTTAGCCTGTGGTTTGTGATGCCTTATTTCTGGTAACCATTTATTCTCCACGTTTTTTAAAGAAGCTAAATTATCTACAGCGAAACAAACCACAAATACATCCGTCTAAAAGAATTGTTTAATTCAATTTCTCGTACAATTAATTATTTTCTTGTATTATTTATTTACCTCCGTATACGCTAAAGGTCTTAATCGATCGTATTCTTCTTGCCCAGCTGTATCACAAAGTACTATCGTGTATTCATGATCTCCAATTGGGACAGTCATTGAATATGAATCAAAACTAAAAAAATTAAAATTATTTACCACAAAAAAAGTTTCTAAAAACATTCTTACACAGTGGGGATATAATAAGGCTCAAATTTCTTATCTTTATAACAGATTAAAAGACATGTTTTTCCTGTGGTGCCATCCCCAACTACGGTTATTCTAATATGCTTATGAGGTCTCGATTTGATGGTGTTTCGCCTCTAAATTAACAAAAAAAATGTTTTAATTTGAATTAATTTATTAATAGAGAAAAAAAATTATCTCGAAACACAAACATCATTAGTCATCTAGTTATTTATAATTATAAAAAGATTATAAAAATCTAGATTACAAAGAAAAATAGTGTTACATTAAGTACTTACCGAATTATTATTGCCGGACATGTTTCGATACTAAAAACGAAATTTTCTCGATATCACAGATTTGTTTGCAAAAAAGTCGCACGAATTCTTTCGCGTGTTAACATAATTATGTGGTCATCAAGTGGATTACGCGTCGACGACACGAAATTCGCTCGAACCTAAACAATAAGTTGATAGTTTACACAATAATAGCGTTCTCGAACGTGTGACAAAAAATGCGCAACAGTACGGCGCGATACGGATTAGATAAGACAATGATAACGATTTTAAAAGGTTCAAGATAAAAATTAAATTGAGGTAATTATCAAATAAAAAATATTTTGCCTTGAAATTTTAAACTAATATTTATTTGGCAATAATTGAAAAAAAATTAATGCTAATTGCAACCTTGTGTTGCTAATATATAGTTTTCCAATACAAACTTTTTCTGCAAACAGCCTTTTATTCTGCATCCACAATATAATTTTGAACATGATCTAGTCTTCTGCAAATAATAAATAGTCTCCTGACAGCAGCATTTAGTCTTTTGCCAACAGTAACTAGTTTTTTGCCAACACTGTCTATTTTTCCACAAGATCTAGTTTTTTATTATCTCTATTTAGTCTTTTGTAAGTAATAAGTAGTCTCTTGGGAGCTGTATCTTGTCTTCTGCAAACACTGTCTTCTGTTTTGTAAGCACTATCCAGGTTTCTACATGATCTAGTGCTCAATTACTAGTATTTAGTCTTCTGCGAGCAATACTTAATCTTCTGCCACCAAGATCTAGTCTTATACAAACAGTGAATAATATTCTGCAAACACAGTCTTCTGTTCTGTTAGCACGATCCCGGTTACTACATGATTTAGTGTTCGAGTATTAACATTTAGTCTTCTGTGAACAATACTTACTCTTCTGCTAGCAGTATCTAGTCGTTTGCAAACAGTAAGAAGTATTCTGCAAACATTGTCTTCTAATCTGTAAGTACTATTCAGGTTTCCACAGAATCTAATGTTCGATTATTAGTATATAGTCTTTTACAAGCAATAAATAGTCTTCTGCTAACAATATCTTGTTTTTATCAATTAGTAAATAGTCTTCTGCAAACACTGCTTAGNCTTGCGGTACTTACAATTTATTTACATCAACTAGATACAAATGTAATCGTTTTTAATTGTAAAATAAATTAAAATAATCGTTATTTTTTTTACAAAATTATGCACTTTTGTTTCTTCGCGTAATAAGGTGATAAATACGATGAGATGGCGATTGCGAAAACTTGATTAACATTTCTCATTAATTTCGATGAACACTCAACGTAATCATCCAGTTTATTGCGTTTACAAACGGCGAAACCATCCGCTGTTTGGATATTATCGTCAGTTCTTACATCAATTTTTGTACCTTAAACACAAAGTTAAAGTAAAATGTGGTGATAATTTGGTTCAATAACTTACAAGTTAAAATAATCTTAGCCTGTGGTTTGTGATGCCTTATTTCTGGTATCCATTTATTCTCGACGTTTTTTAAAGAAGCTAAATTATCTACAGCGAAACAAACCACAAATACATCCGTCTAAAAGAATTGTTTAATTCAATTTCTCGTACAATTAATTATTTTCTTGTATTATTTATTTACCTCCGTATACGCTAAAGGTCTTAATCGATCGTATTCTTCTTGCCCAGCTGTATCACAAAGTACTATCGTGTATTCATGATCTCCAATTGGGACAGTCATTGAATATGAATCAAAACTAAAAAAATTAAAATTATTTATCGCTAAAAACGTTTCTACAAACATTCTTACACAGTGGGGATATAATAAGGCTCAAATTTCTTATCTTTATAACAGATTAAAAGACATGTTTTTCCTGTGGTGCCATCCCCAACTACGGTTATTCTAATATGCTTATGAGGTCTCGATTTGATGGTGTTTCGCCTCTAAATTAACAAAAAAAATGTTTTAATTTGAATTAATTTATTAATAGAGAAAAAAAATTATCTCGAAACACAAACATCATTAGTCATCTAGTTATTTATAATTATAAAAAGATTATAAAAATCTAGATTACAAAGAAAAATAGTGTTACATTAAGTACTTACCGAATTATTATTGCCGGACATGTTTCGATACTAAAAACGAAATTTTCTCGATATCACAGATTTGTTTGCAAAAAAGTCGCACGAATTCTTTCGCGTGTTAACATAATTATGTGGTCATCAAGTGGATTACGCGTCGACGACACGAAATTCGCTCGAACCTAAACAATAAGTTGATAGTTTACACAATAATAGCGTTCTCGAACGTGTGACAAAAAATGCGCAACAGTACGGCGCGATACGGATTAGATAAGACAATGATAACGATTTTAAAAGGTTCAAGATAAAAATTAAATTGAGGTAATTATCAAATAAAAAATATTTTGCCTTGAAATTTTAAACTAATATTTATTTGGCAATAATTGAAAAAAAATTAATGCTAATTGCAACCTTGTGTTGCTAATATATAGTTTTCCAATACAAACTTTTTCTGCAAACAGCCTTTTATTCTGCATCCACAATATAATTTTGAACATGATCTAGTCTTCTGCAAATAATAAATAGTCTCCTGACAGCAGCATTTAGTCTTTTGCCAACAGTAACTAGTTTTTTGCCAACACTGTCTATTTTTCCACAAGATCTAGTTTTTTATTATCTCTATTTAGTCTTTTGTAAGTAATAAGTAGTCTCTTGGGAGCTGTATCTTGTCTTCTGCAAACACTGTCTTCTGTTTTGTAAGCACTATCCAGGTTTCTACATGATCTAGTGCTCAATTACTAGTATTTAGTCTTCTGCGAGCAATACTTAATCTTCTGCCACCAAGATCTAGTCTTATACAAACAGTGAATAATATTCTGCAAACACAGTCTTCTGTTCTGTTAGCACGATCCCGGTTACTACATGATTTAGTGTTCGAGTATTAACATTTAGTCTTCTGTGAACAATACTTACTCTTCTGCTAGCAGTATCTAGTCGTTTGCAAACAGTAAGAAGTATTCTGCAAACATTGTCTTCTAATCTGTAAGTACTATTCAGGTTTCCACAGAATCTAATGTTCGATTATTAGTATATAGTCTTTTACAAGCAATAAATAGTCTTCTGCTAACAATATCTTGTTTTTATCAATTAGTAAATAGTCTTCTGCAAACACTGCTTAGTATTTAGCATGATCTAGTGCTCCATTATTAGTATTTAGCCTTCTGCGAGCAATACTTAGTCTTCTGAACCCATATCTAGTCTTATACAAACAGTGAATAAAGTTTTGCAAGCACTGTCTTTTGCTCTGTAAGCACTATCCAGGTTTCTACATGATCTAGCACTCGATTATCAATATCTAGTCTTCTGCGAGCAATACTTAGTCTTCTGACTCCAGTATTTAGTCTTATACAAGCAGTGAATAATGTTCTGCAAACGCTGTTTTCTGTTCTGTAAGCGCTCTCCAGGTTTCTACATGATCTATCGTTCTATTATCAGTATTTAGTCTTCTATGAGCAATATTTACTCTTCTGCCAGCAGTATCTACTCGTTTGTAAACAGTAAATAGTATTCTGCAAACATTGTCTTCTAATCTGTAGGTACTATTCAGGTTTCCACAGAATCTAATGTTCGATTATTAGCATATAGTCTTTTACAAGCAATAAATAGTTTTCGGCTAACAATATCTTGTTTTTATCAATTAGTAAATAGTTTTCTGCAAACACTGCTTAGCATTTAGCAAGAACTATTACGCATTATCCACGTTTCTACATGATCTAGTGTTAATACTTAGTCTTCTGAACCCATATCTAGTCTTATACAAACAGTGATTAAAGTTCTGCAAGCACTGTCTTTTGTTCTGTAAGCACTATCCAGGTTTCTACATGATCTAGCACTCGATTATCAATATCTAGTCTTCTGCGGGCAATACTTAGTCTGCTGACTCCAGTATTTAGTCTTATACAAGCAGTGAATAATGTTCTGCAAACGCTGTTTTCTGTTCTGTAAGCGCTCTCCAGGTTTCTACATGATGTGGCGTTCTATTATTAGTATTTAGTCTTCTATGAGCAATATTTACGCTTCTGCCAGCAGTATCTAGTCGTTTGTAAACAGTAAATAGTATACTGCAAACATTGTCTTCTAATCTGTAAGTACTATTCAGGTTTCCACAGAATCTAGTGTTCGATTATTAGTATATAGTCTTTTACAAGCAATAAATAGTCTTCTGCTAACAAGATCTTGTTTTTATCAATTAGTAAATAGTCTTCTGCAAACACTGCTTAGCATTTAGCATGATCTAGTGCTCGATTATTAGTATTTAGCCTTCTGCGAGCAATACTTAATCTTCTGAACCCATATTTAGTCTTATACAAACAATGATTAAAGTTCTGCAAGCACTGTCTTTTGTTCTGTAAGCACTATCCAGGTTTCTACATGATCTAGCACTCGATTATCAATGTCTAGTCTTCTGCGGGCAATACTTAGTCTGCTGACTCCAGTATTTAGTCTTATACAAGCAGTGAATAATGTTCTGCAAACGCTGTTTTCTGTTCTGTAAGCGCTCTCCAGGTTTCTACATGATGTGGCGTTCTATTATTAGTATTTAGTCTTCTATGAGCAATATTTACGCTTCTGCCAGCAGTATCTAGTTGTTTGTAAACAGTAAATAGTATTCTGCAAACATTGTCTTCTAATCTGTAAGTACTATTCAGGTTTCTACAGAATCTAGTGTTCGATTAGTAGTATATAGTCTTTTACAAGCAATAAATAGTCTTCTGCTAACAATATCTTGTTCTTATAAATTAGTAAATAGTCTTCTGCAAACACTGCTTAGCATTTAGCAAGGACTATTACGCATTATCCAGGTTTCTACATGATCTAGTGCTCGATTATTACTATTTAGTCTTCTGCGAGCAATACTTACTTTTCTATCAGCAGTATTTACTCGTTTGCAAACAACAAATAGTGTTCCGCAAACATTGTCTTCTAATCTGTAAGTGCTATTCGGGTTTTCACAGAATCTAGTATTCGAGTATTAGTGTATAGCCTTTTTCAAGCAATAAATGGTCTTCTGCTAACACTGTTTAGAATTTTGCAAAGATTATTATGCACTATCCACGTTTCTACATAATCTAGTGCTCGATTATTAGTATTTAGTTTTCTGCGAGTAATACTTAGTCTTCTGCCACCAGTATCTAGTCTTATACAAACAGTGAATAATGTTCTGCAAACAGTATCTTCCGTTCTGTAAGCACTTTCCAGGATTCTACATGATCTAGCGCTCGATTATTAATATTTAGTTTTTTACGAGCAATACTTACTCTTCTGCCAGCAGTTTGTAAACAGTAACTAGTGTTCTGCAAGCACTATTTAGTTTTCCACAAGATCTAGATTTCGATAATCAGTATTTAGTCTTCTGCATGTAGTAAATAGTCTTATGAAAGCAGGACCTAGTCTTTTGCAATTAATAAATTGTTTTTTTAAACACTGTCTTCCGTTTTGTGAGCACCATCCAGATTTCTACATGATCTAGTGCTCGATTATTAGTATTTAGTCTTCTGCGAGCAATATTTAATCCTCTGCCAGTAGTATCTAGGCGCTTGCAAACGGGAAATAGTGTTTCACAGACATTGTCTTCAAAAAACACAGGAAATGAATATCGATAGTTTCTGTTCAGACCAAAAAACTAGTCTTAAAAAGTATCTTAACAATGTAAAAGTTTAAAAGCCGTTGCATTAGGCGTTATTGATTTATTAGAAAAATTAAAATCAGCAAATTTGAATTTTTGCAAAACATCTCGTAAAAGTAAGGATGAATTTGAAATATGATTTGTATAGCCTTTTTCAAGCAATAAATAGTCTTTTGCTAACAAAATCTTGTCTTTTGCAATTAGTAAATAGACTTTTGCAAACGTTGTTTAGTATTCAGCAAACAATAAGTAGTTTTCTATAAGCAGTAGGTCAGAGTTTGTGTCAGTATTGGTCAGTATTTAGTGTTCTACAAATACACTCTGCTGTTCTGTATGTATTATTCAGGTTTCCACAGAATATAGTGTTCGATTATTAGTATTTAGTCTTTTGCGAGCAATACCTAGTCTTCTACCTTCATCTTTAACGAACAGTTTAGTTTTCAGTTATCAGTATTAAGTTAAAGTTTTGGAAAAAACAGTTAACAGAAAAGTAACGAAGTTTCTAAAGGCTGAGCGCATTGTTCCAGTGAATTAGTCTGGTTTCAGGAAAGGACATAGCTGTGAAATTGCTCTGAACAATATAGTGGATGATATTGTTACTGCAACTGACTCTTTTGGGGTGTTGGATTTCTCCAGAGTATTCGATACTCTAAACCAAGACTGGGATCTTGCTAGTGTTCTAGACTGGTTTAGATACCATGGTTTGAGTTTGAATATAGCAAAGACTCAACAAAATTTTACTGCATCAATAATACCCATCTGATACTTGATGACAAGATCATACAATTCCCTTAAATAGTTAAAAATTTGGGGGTGGTGATGGATTCTGCATTGTCTTGGCAGCCTCAAATTCAGTCTGCCTTGAGGAACGTATATTTCTGTTACTTCTGCGACCATAACCATGATGTATGTTCTTTCCCCTATCGTTCGTAATCTTATTATTATTAATACTCTTTTACCGGTATGCAGTCTTCTGTTCTGTAAGCACTATCCAGGTTTCTACAGAATCTAGTGTCCGATTATTAATATTTAGTCTTCTGCAAGCAATACATAATCTTTTGCCAGTAGTATCCAATCTTTAGCAAACAGTACATAGTCTTCTGCCACCACCGCGTAGCCTTCGGCAAGCAATATTTAGTTTTCCACAAAGTCTAGTCTTCATGTGTCAGTATTTAGTCTTTTGCAAACAACAAGTAGTCTTCTGTAAGCGATAAGTACTACTTTTCTAGCGTTATGTATTCTTCTGCGAGCAGTATCTAATCTTTTGCAAACACTGCGTTCTGTTTTGTAAGCACTACCCAGGTTTCCACAGGATCTAGTGTTCGATTATTAGTATTTAGACATTTGTGAGTAATACGTAGTCTAAAAAATATTTCAAATGCCATTAAAGAAAACAAAATATATTTGGAGTGTATTAAATCAAGATAAAAAGATAATGAAATGTTATTAGACTTTTTTTAATTTTGAAATCTCGATTATACACGAAATGTTTACGAATATCCTAGCAAATATATGATTAAATCAGTTTCCACCAAAACAAATTTAGACCACTTAACTCTTTATACAAGAACATTACCGATGTGTGCACAACATTTTTATCAAGATAGCAGCAAATCGTGATGAAGTAAATTTCAATTTAATTAATTTAGCTTTGCTTCGGCCTTTATATATTATATATATTTTTTTTATATACAGGATGTGTCAAAGGTTTGGAATATAACCAATAACTTCGCAATTTTTGGTTTTAAAGAATAATCGTCGTATTTATCCTTTGATAAAGGATAAATAAATAAATAGAGGGATTTATCCTTTATCAAAGTATACAAGAATAACATATGCATCCCATTTAAAATAACTATGTTGGTTGCCATAGCAACGATACAAAAAACAATACAAACAAGCAAATATCGCCAAAAAATGCGCCACGATTAATAAAGAATTTTTTGTTTAAAACATTTTTCTATAAAACCACAAATGGTGAAGTTATTGGCTATATTCCAAACATTTGACACAACCTGTATACAGGGTGATTCAAAAAACCGCTGACAGACAAAGTTTCTTTAAAATTAAACATTATCTGCAATTAAAAGCCCTTTTTTAAAAATATTTTCAACTCTACTGCTACTTTTGCCAAACGTGCAGTATTTTCGTGTAAAGTGATCAATTATCTATCAATTGGTCTCTTACAAAACTTTGATTAAAGGAACAGTTTTTGATTGAATTAACAAATTTTCTACAAACGTGTTTTTCTTAAAAACTATTGCTTTGATCAAAGTTTTGTAAAAGACCAATTGATGGATAATTGATAAGATTTGGTAAGATAATGTTTAATTTTAAAAAAACTTTGATCCGCTATATCTCGCCAACGAGACATTTGCGACCCTATGTATATTAAGACTTTTCATCTTAATTTTTGATGTATTACCCGCCGTAGCAGTCTGTCAGCGGTTTTTTGAATCAGCCTGTATATATATTTTTATATACAGGATGTGTGAAATATTTGGAATATAACCAATAACTTCGCAATTTTTGGTTTTAAAGAATAATGTTTCAAATAAAAAATTCTTTATTAATCGTGGCGCATTTTTTGGCGATATTTGCTTGTTTGTATTGTTTTTTGTATCGTTGCTATGGCAACCAACATTGTTATTTTAAATAGGATGCATATGTTTTTTTTGCATACTTTGATAAAGGATAAGTAAATAAATAGAGGGATTTATCCTTTATCAAAGTATGCAAGAAAAATATATGCGTACTATTTGAAATAACAATGTTGGTTGCCATAGCAACGATACAAAAGCAATACAAACAAGCAAATATCGCCAAAAATGCGCCACGATTAATAAAGAAACTTTTATTTGAAACATTTTTCTATAAAACCATAAATGGTGAAGTTATTGGCTATATTTTAAACATTTGACACAGCCTGTATACAGGGTGATTCAGACCACCCGTACCAGGCATTGCAATTTGATAATAAAATCGCATTTGAAGAATTCAATGCACCAGTTTTATCACGCTGGTAACACCGGAAGTTGGTGGTAATGACATCAACTTAAAAATTTTCCAAAATGTCATATGAATTGTTTGTTCAGATTGTTCTTTAATTAATTACTTCAGCATTTTTTATAATACATGTTTAGTTATGTATCAATAATACTTAAACGTTGCATTAAATCTAAGAAGAGTTAAAGCAAAAGATGTTTATTTTTAAAATATCTATTCTATGATAAAACGTAATTCATATGACAGCTTGTAAAATTTTTAAGTTGATGTCATTACCACCAACTTCCGGTATTTTCACCGTGATAAAAACTGTTTTTATATTTTATTATCATATTTTTTATTGCAACTTCTTAGATAATCGCGTTTTTGAGAAAAATCCCTGGTACGGGTGGTCTGAATCACCCGGTATATTATTATTTTAGAAAAATATTAGAAAAAAATCTATTAAACTCCATCTATGATTTAAAAGTAAAACTTATCACTATTAATACTTTTAGAGAGCCATCTATGAAGTGAAACTCGAAGCAAGCGAAACATTGATTTTTCTAGTTTTAGTTTCGCCGCTTTAATCATAGATGGAGACGTAAAAAAAAGATAATAATTTGATTTATTTTAAAGTGAATCACAATCGATAGATGTAATAATCTATTTTATTACCTATTGTTTTAATTTATCTTCTCTGGAATTGAGACTAAATTAAAAAAAAATTTTATTGATCTTACAAATATGAAGTAACTAACTATTTTGAGAAAATTGATAAGATTCAAATCACATAATGGATTAAGACCGATGCGAAAATGATATCAACAAATTTAAATTATTTATTAATAAATAAATTTTTTGTTTAATTACTTTTACATCGAACGAATAAGCAATGATAAAACGGTTTTTTTGTCGTGGTAACCTCGCATAACTTAATTAAAACATCTTTGAAAATTTCCTCGACGTTTATGTTCCAAAGAGCGGAGCAATACCCAACGTGCGAGAAAAAATAGTGTCTCCTTAATTCTTGGATTTCATCGACTAGGATTCTTTTATTTTTTAAATCAGACTTTGTACCTACATAAATGTGATGGGAATAAAATTATTTAAATAATTTCTTCTTTTTAATTACTTACATACTAAAACTATTGAGGCGTTTGGTTTGTGATATTTAATTTCTGGGTACCATTTCGTTCGAACGTTTTTGAATGAATTCATGTTGTTTATGGCGAAACATATTATAAAAATGTCGGTCTGAAATGACAAATTATTAATTTAAAGATTTTGAAGATAAGAAAATTTATTTGCCCAAAAAATTAATAACTTTTTTCTTATTTTAGTAATTATTTCTGGCGCCGAAAAGTCGATTTATTAACAAGATTCGATTTTAATCATCTTTTGCGGCATCTTTTGATAAAAAATGACTGTTATTTATTAATTAAATTAACTTACGTTTCTATAAATTCTTATTCTTTCTTCTAAATTGCGTTTACCTCCTAAAGTATCGCAAATTTCCAATTCATATTCTCCTTTATTTACGATTATTTTCTTGGTAAATGGTTCCAATCTAAAAGGATTTATTAAAACAAAAATTAAGATTATTAATTTTTTTTACCTCTTACTTTGATGGGTTTCTTTAAATCCATCCCCATTGAGTACCGAAAGCCAGCTGGTTTTACCCGTTTGCGAATCTCCAACGATTGTAAATCTAATCCCGCTCATTCCATCAGCAGATGCCTCGAGGGGCACTTTTTAGTTCTCGCCTTCGCCCGCACCAAACTGAAACTGATAATACCAAACGCGATCGCTATGAATTCCTAAATCTTTTTTTTGATATCATTTACATCTCGTTTTAATTTATTGACATAAAGATAAAGAGATCGATAAATATTGAAATGAAAAGAATTATTTTGTTGATAATTTTTATTAACCAGAAGTTATTTTCTAACTTCACTAACATTTTTTTGGGTTATCGGAAAACGCAGCAAATTAATCTGTAGTATTGGGAAGTTTTAATTAATCGTTATCTTGTATCTAACGGAATTAAATTATCGATTAACAATATAGAGTGGCTATAAACTAATAGCTTTTTTTCAAAATCCAAACACAATGTTTGGAGCGTTACTATAATTTTAGATAAGGAAAATTACTTATTAATTACTTTAAGTCACTCAAATCGTCATTACATATCACCCGTGACTAAATGTTGTGTTGATATATCATCACAAAAGAAATCAACCTTACAAAACTTACAAAAAGCACGAAAAAATGTGAATTAAGCCTTATTTCTGCTATAATTACTAAGCGATTTCATTCACAGCATTAACACTTGATGGGACTAATTGGTGCGGGTACCAAAATCTTGATGGGTACTAACCAATCTTCAGTAATGATTGCCAACAACATCTAAACAAAACAATCTCCTTAATTATTACCTTTCTTAAATCTGGAACCACTTTGGCAATAAGCGACCAATCGATGAAATAAGCAGCAATTTAAAGGAAATTTAATGAAGATTGAATATATAATTTCTTATTTCTAATAAACTTTGTTGTTATTAATAATATCTTTATAATTATAATATCTTTGTTGTTAAAATTAATAACGATGAAAAGTACAGAGTTGGGGTTAAAAAATCACCACAACGATTTTTATAGAAACTAAGAAATTATTTATGGCACATTTAATCCGGATTGAATTTGCTTTAAAATGTTGATTATTTCATCATGATATCTCAATTAGTTCTTGAGATACGATTTTTTTAATTTCCATTAAAATGAATAATGATGAAAAGTACAGAGTTGGGGTTAAAAAATCATAACAACAGTTTTTATGGAAACTAAGAAATTAGTTATGGCATATTTAATTCTCGTTAAATTTGCTTTAAAATGTTGGTTATTTCACCATGATATCTCAATTGGTTCTTGAGATACGATTTTTTTAATTTCCATTAAAATTAATAACTACAAAAATTGCAGAGTTGGGGTTAAAAAATCATCAGAGCGATGTTTATGGAAACTAAGAAATTATTTATGGGACATTTAATCCTCGTTAAATTTGCTTTAAAATGTTGATTATTTCATCATGATATCTCAATTAGTTCTTGAGATACGATTTTTTTAATTTCCATTAAAATCAATAACTACGAAAATTGCAGAGTTGGGGTTAAAAAATCATCACAACGGTTTTTATGGAAACTAAGAAATTATTTATGGGACATTTAATCCTCGTTAAATTTGCTTTAAAATGTTGATTATTTCATCATGATATCTCAATTAGTTCTTGAGATACGATTTTTTTAATTTCCATTAAAATCAATAACTACGAAAATTGCAGAGTTGGGGTTAAAAAATCATCACAACGGTTTTTATGGAAACTAAGAAATTATTTATGGGACATTTAATCCTCGTTAAATTTGCTTTAAAATGTTGATTATTTCATCATGATATCTCAATTAGTTCTTGAGATACGATTTTTTTAATTTCCATTAAAATCAATAACTACGAAAATTGCAGAGTTGGGGTTAAAAAATCATCACAACGGTTTTTATGGAAACTAAGAAATTATTTATGGGACATTTAATCCTCGTTAAATTTGCTTTAAAATGTTGATTATTTCATCATGATATCTCAATTAGTTCTTGAGATACGATTTTTTTAATTTCCATTAAAATCAATAACTACGAAAATTGCAGAGTTGGGGTTAAAAAATCATCACAACGGTTTTTATGGAAACTAAGAAATTATTTATGGGACATTTAATCCTCGTTAAATTTGCTTTAAAATGTTGATTATTTCATCATGATATCTCAATTAGTTCTTGAGATACGATTTTTTTAATTTCCATTAAAATCAATAACTACGAAAATTGCAGAGTTGGGGTTAAAAAATCATCACAACGGTTTTTATGGAAACTAAGAAATTATTTATGGGACATTTAATCCTCGTTAAATTTGCTTTAAAATGTTGATTATTTCATCATGATATCTCAATTAGTTCTTGAGATACGATTTTTTTAATTTCCATTAAAATCAATAACTACGAAAATTGCAGAGTTGGGGTTAAAAAATCATCACAACGGTTTTTATGGAAACTAAGAAATTATTTATGGGACATTTAATCCTCGTTAAATTTGCTTTAAAATGTTGATTATTTCATCATGATATCTCAATTAGTTCTTGAGATACGATTTTTTTAATTTCCATTAAAATCAATAACTACGAAAATTGCAGAGTTGGGGTTAAAAAATCATCACAACGGTTTTTATGGAAACTAAGAAATTATTTATGGGACATTTAATCCTCGTTAAATTTGCTTTAAAATGTTGATTATTTCATCATGATATCTCAATTAGTTCTTGAGATACGATTTTTTAAATTTCCAATAAAATTTATAACTTTAAAAAGTGCAAAGTTGGGTTCAAAAAATCATAACAACGATGTTTATGAAAACTAAGAAATTATTTATGGCACATTTAATCCTCATTAAATTTGCTTTAAAATGTTGGATATTTCGTCGTCATATATCAATTAGTTCTCAAGATACGATTTTTTTAGTTTCCATTAAAATTAATAACGATGAAAACTACAGGATGTCCCAATTTCATTGTCCGCATAGGCTATCTCCGAAACTAAAAGAGATAGAAAGAAAGTAGCTTACATGTCATGATAAAACCATAGTTGGCTATGACTTAAAATAATTTGTCATTTTCTTCTGATAACAAATATATACAGGGTGTCTCACGTAACTGGTTTGTTAGAACTTCCATTATTTGTACAGTTTTGAAATTTTGGTAGCATTGAGTTGTTCATTCGGAACTGTCGATCTAAAATATTTTCAAGATGGCCACTTCCGGTCTGTCGGAAGTAGACCATAACTTAGTAAAATTCGAAAAATAAGTATAAACGAAATAAAAATATTTAGAAAAATTAAATAATCTGCTGTTTGTTCAAAATGTCATCTGGACCGATGAATGTGATAGAATCCATGTTGCAAGATGTTTATATAATTAAGAAATAAAAAACAGTAACTTCTTTCTTGCTTTTTTTATATATTATTAAATTTCCTCGGTACCGGTTTCGACTAAACAGTCATCCTCAGCCGAATCTACATATAAAAAACTTAATTCAATAATTATTAAACTTACGGTCAAATAAAATCTATTTATGAAAAATTGAGCACATCATATTGAAATAAATCATGCATAAAACATTTTTTAGTGAAAATTTTAGTGCGTGCATTTTTTCTAACGTATTTTTAACGTATTTCTCTGAATGTTCTCAAGGAAGATTCGAGTTTAATGTATGGTGTGTCCTTTTAAATAATAGAATTTTGACATATAGTATCTACCATGAAAACTTAAACTCAGGTAGATACCTCAATAAATGAAGGCAGGCAGCACATTGTCTCAAATGACGTATTTTCAACATGACACAAGATTGTTAGTGAATTTTTAAGTACAATCTTTGGCAATAATTGAGAACACTGTTTTCCATCATGGTATGGTTATCACCATAACAACAATAACTTTTAAATAAATACAATAGTTTTAGAAAGAACAAAAAGAATTTTTGCTAACTATAAGAAATATGCCCAATGCAGTATATACAGGGTGAGTCAAAAAACCACTGACAGACTTCTAGAGCAGATACATAGTACATGAAAAATTAAGATGAATAGTCTTAATATACAACGTAACATAAAAAAATTATGTGTTTTCTAGAAGATGGATATATTTATTTAAGGCTCAACCGGTTTCAATTGCTAGTTACAATCATCTTCAGGAGCTAGCCACCTATTATTATAAAAATAAAAAAATACATTTCACAAATTAAATCAAACAATATTCCAATATAATATTTTAACAATATTAAATAATATTTTTAAAACCATAACTTGTTCTATATCTTCTGGTATTGTCACTTTTCGTATTCTGGCTTTTTCCGGATATCTTATTTTTTGTTGTTAATTCCTCAAAGTTCGTTAATTTTGTGTTTTGAGGTTATGTCTGGTTAGGTCGTCATGTCAATGAAGATAGTCGCGAATTATACAGTCAATCAGATTTAACTTTAAATTCAAATTCAATTTATCAATGTTTGAAACATAAAATTAAATAGATGCACTTTATATCACTAATATTAAACATAGTATTCAATGGGTACCGTATTTCAAAAAACTCTTAAATGTTACTGTTTTGATAAGGAATTGAAGTTGTAAGGGAAATGAAAAATGGGAAATTGCAGAAAAGGTGAAGATTTTGGAATAAAGAAAGGATTGGTAGTTGTACATAATTGTAGTTACATGTTTGACAAAATTAGCAGTGGCGTTGAAAGTATTTTAAAAGAAGGGTCTTTTATACCAGATAATGTTTAATTTTAAAGAAACTTTGACACCCTTATATCTCGTTAAGGTGGCATTTGCAAGTCCATGTATATTAAGACTATTCATCTTAATTTTTGATGTACCTATTACCTGCCTTAGAAATCTGGCAGCGGTTTTTTGAATCACCCTGTATATTTATTATTATTTTATTATTATTAAAAAATTCTACCTACGCCACTGAATTCTTCGTAAAAAGTTGCGCATACAATGCTTTAATTATAATACTCCATCTTTTGTAATAAGTGAGATATTCGCGTTTGTCGTTTTCGCAAATTTTTCAGTTTTTGCCGATAGGGCGAAAACAAAAGACGATAGCTGTACGGAGTTTTCGGCATTAGCAGTTTCTCGAAAAACGTGATCATGACATGTATGCTACTTTTTTCTATCTCTTTTAGTTTCGGAGATATTGTCCGCAATATCTCCGACAACGTATTTGGGACATCTTATACAGAGTTGGG